CGGATCCTGGTGCGTCGGTTTAATTTGGATAGAAAGCAGGTCGTAATCTGATGTAGAAGCCAAGACTAAACCCTCCGTGTGGGTTTCAGTAGTTCCAGGTTAAGATCCAAATACAAACTTGTGCCTGGCAATGCGATCCTGACCCTGTTTGCTCAGTTGGACCCTCTTCAATGGCACTTGCTGTCATTGGGACTTAACTCGCTGTTAAACTGCGTTGTAAACAGCGTGCGCAGCCTTTTCTGCAGGAATTCAGCTCCACTCCCGATTGCTTATGAATTTTCGAACTGGACATTGTGAACCTGAATCCACTTTGGCTGAACGCAGATATACCTTCGCCTCTGTGCATTGCACGTCCTTTCTAATTGCATGACGTTTTAGCACTGAGTTTGGGGAGAAAGAAAGGGATGCAACAGTGGCATCCCTAAGAATCTAAGGGCATCTATAAGAAAAAAAAACTGATTGCACCCCTTTTCCTTTTTTTGCGGGGTGAGCCCTCCTATTCAAAGAGAGAGGTTTCACAAATCAACTCTTCAAGAAATTTATTAATTTATCTGCGGAAGATGCTAAACCTGCGGATGTATACAGTTATCCCTTAGCCTTGATAAGAGTGACCTCGAAGTCAATGCCAGGGAAATAACATCTCGATCCCTGGACGCTTAATATTTACAGGCTGGATGGAGCCAGAGCAAATTAGGTACCAACCTATATAAACTTACCTGGGAGTAGGTCCTATTGACCTCAGTGTGGCTTACTCTTCAGTAGGCATGCTCAGTAGATTGTACTGTACTGGAAGCGGCGCTTAGTTCCCCAAGAAACCTGCGGAGAAAGTCTTGTCAGTCTCGAGTTCAGCTGCAGACCTTGCTGCGCCCTGACCTGGGAGTAAGTCTAATTGGCTTCAGCGGAGCTTGCTCCTGAGTAGACATGCGCTGTCACTTCCTTCGGAGCCAACCTATTCTATAAACAACTAGATTGCTTCTGGAAAAGCTAAGCTGCATGGATCCTACCATTATTTTTAAAAATAATAATAATATCAATAAACTCAGGAAGGCTTGCCAAGCAGGGGCTGGCTGCCAGTGTGCAGGAAAAGGAAAGGGAGCAAGGAGAGATTTTCCTTGAGCGAAACAGTGACCCCCGCCAGTCATTCCGTGTCAGCCCTGCGCGCTGGGCAGAGACACCCACGGCTGTCCCCTCACCTTCTTCACCATTTCAGCCCTCCTCCTCCTGAGTTTCTGATTTCCTGTCAGATCCCACTGAAGCGTGTGAGGAGAGAGAAAGAGAGACTCCCCAGAAAGCCACCCTTTGGCCGAGCGCGCTTGCCTCTGTTGCCGCCGCCGCCTTTCCAGGCTTGGGAAGGGAGGGCTCTGCAGTCTGGCGGAGGTGATGACACACAGCACAATGCTGCCGCTACACCTGCGGAAGGAAATGCCTGCGAGCGGGGCGGGGTGGGGGAAGCAGCCCCGGCCAGCCTGGGTGGTCAGGGGGAAGGAACTGGTCCTCACTAGCTCACGCCACCGGCCTCCGAAAGAAAGAGCAGCCGCGGCTCTGAATCCCAGCAGGCGGCCGAGCGCTCGGTTTCCGTCGGGGGGCCAGGAGCTGGCCCCGCCGGATCCAGAGGCAGGGACTGCCCGCTTGCTTAGCAAAAGGGAAGCCAGGCTGCTGCAAAACCCTCGGGCCGGTTTGCTCCAGGGCAGCCCTCGGGAATCAGACCCCTTGAGTTCGGCGGTGCTTACTTCCCAGTAAATGCGCATAGGACGGCAGAGCCTCGCAGCTTATTTGGATCCACAGAGCCTTTGGGTGCGTGCTTGGCGTCCTACGTGGGAAAGAGGTTTCCCCGCCAGCTTCTCTGGGCTTAAGATTTCAGGAAGGGGCTGATCCTAAATCGGAGAGCTCACTTTAAACACCCAAGCTCCAGAAACGCAACAGAAGGGATTCCAACAGAGATGACTCCAATAGAAATATGCACTCCATTAGAAGCACACGAAGATAGATCCTTAGCACCTCGGTTGCAAACCAGAAATAGTGCGCTTTAAAAAAAAAAATACTTCTGTCCCTTTATGTACCTCGTCTTAGTTGAAACATTGACTCAGGGGCTTCCTGATCTTTAACCACAGTCTCATTCTGTTCAAGAAAACTTTTGGCTTTATTTTACTTCTAGACTGTAATAGTGTTATCAGCGTATGTAAGTATACAAAGATACAGGTCTTAACGGAAAAGAGAGCAGCCCTTTCCCCGGTTGCTGTTGGGAGATACATTGTACAGACAATATGCTCTTAGGAGACTCCTGTTTCAATGTTTCAGTCCTAAGCCTACTTAATTGGAAGTAAATCCCATTAAATACATTTGGGCTTCCTTCTAAGTAAGCTTCTTTTTTTCTTTTTCGATGGCTGAACAAGTAGTAAAACTTTTGTTGTTTTTTTACGCGTCCAATAGGAAACAGCATATATTTGAACATGTGACTTTTAAGCTGCGAGAAACAGTCACACTTAACTTGGAAAGAAAGTTTTAGTGAAAATGATGAAATTTGGAGGTAAATGCGTTTGGGACTGTTAGTGACCTCCCACAATTTGGTCACCTCAGTCTTTAACATTTTAAATCAGGAAGATATCAAATAAACCTGATTTTATTGATTCCGACAAAGGGAACGGAACTATTGCCATGTGCTTTTATTAGAAACTAATTGTCAAACATTCCAATTTTTTTTTTAAAAAAAAACCATCAGGTACAGTTGCAAAGAAATCCAGTTGTGTGAACGCAATAAAATAATCATAAATTACACACACACACACACACGAAAGAGATCAGTTAGGTGCCTGTTGAGACCCATTGACACCAATGGGTTTTTCTTCTTCTTTTACAAATATTATATATGCGGGCAGAACCAGCGTGGTGATATTTCCCATTGTATTTAGCTCTATTCTCCACTCCCCAGAATCAAGCGTGCATAATTTCCGAACAGGCTACATAAACCATGGCGGGCAAGTTACCCTGATTCAAGGGCCTGCCCACCCAAGGTTAAAATCTCTACAAAGCCCCGCAGCTGAATGGCTGAACAGAGTCACAAGAGCCCTTTCCAAGCGAGAAAATTACAGAGTGCGCAAGAACTGCGTTGACAGAGCCCCTTTCTCTTCTGGAAGTGGGGGCGGCGAGGACTGTCACGCCCAGAATGAATGAAATTATGTACATTCGAAGCGGAAATGCAAGACCTGATGGTCCCAAGTGGCCACACCAAATGAATGGCAAAGAGGGATTGTTCGTCCTTGGACAGTAAAAGGAGCCTCACGGGCCCGTGGCTGTTGAGAACAAGATGAGCAGTTGTTTACAGGTCACGGGAACGTGGAAGTGAGCCATCTCTATTGCGGAAACATCAGAAAATCGAAGGCCCGGTTGCTAACTCAGTTGATAGGCTTCGGTCCAAGGCCTCGCAGAGATCGAGGCTTCAAGGCCGGCCTGTGCGTGGGATTTGCCCGAAGGCACTGGAGCACCTGAAGGAAAGCTCGGGGAGGAGGCCCTTTCCTAGGCACCAATTAACCCGGGGAAACAGCAGCCTCCTCGAGCTCTTCTGCAGAAGTCTCGCGGAAAACATAGCAATTCTCTTCCTTTCCCCCAGCTCCCCACCCTCCTCATTCATTCGCTGATTTATTTATTTGTCTCGCTGCCTCCCCCCCCCCCCAGACCTGGAGGATGTCTCTGAAATCTAGAAACAAACAAGTGATACCTGAATGACATGTTTTTGAAAAACATCTTGTCCGGAGCCGGCAGCGAAGCGAGCTGTTAGAGGGCTTGTTTGCTTTTGTGCACGCCTAAGGTGAACTAAAAGGTTGCAAGGACAGAGCCCCAATATACGTGGGATATTTATATTTTGATGTGTCAAGTGGGAAGGGCGCCCGAACTCGAATCTAAGTAGAAATCACGCGGCTCGTTCTGTCTCTAGATGGACAAGATAGATAGGCAGAAAGAGAGGGAGAGGATTATGACACCCCTCCTATGTATTAGCTTCCTTAAAATATATGAGCAGGGCGTGCAACTTTGTACTCTCAAACAAGGTGACAATAACAGCAACACTTCTTTGGAAAACAGGCGTTGCAGCAAGACGTTGTCACCTTTCCAAGCCGAGGTCCTTCAAACTGCCTCGCGTTCCCAGCCTACGTTATCCAGAGCAACCTCGCTGGACATCCCTGAGATGGTGGCTTCCGTCAGCGGCCCCCAGCCAGCCAGCCAGCCAGCCATCCCGGCTCATTGAGGAGCCCCTGCCTCCCCAGTCGACAGATCGCCCTTGCACATTTGCAATCTCTTTGCAGCGTGGAAAGAAGAGAAATGTTTTCACCAACACCCCCCCCGCACCCCCACTTCTCCTCACTTGTTTTGCTCCTAAGCTGCCTCGTGCAGGAGTCGCAGAGACGCAGCTTCTTTCTTTTTCTCCTGCCGTGGATTCTTGCCCTCGCCTCTTCCCACCCCCGCCCTTCCCTCTGCTCTGGGACCCCCAGGGGGCTCCAGCCTCCGGATTCCTCGCTGGGGTGGACTTGCGCGGTTTGACTTCGCCATGAACTCGCCCGTGCCCAGCTGGCTCCCAGGCTTGTGGGACGGGCGGGGGAGGGGGTGGCACAGAGAGAGAGAGAGAGAGAGAGAGAGAGAGAGAGAGAGAGAGACGGGGGGGGGTGCGATGGGAGAAAAGGGATCCTGACGAAAGCGGAACTCGCCGGAGCCCATACAAATCAGAGGAGAGCTCGTCCAGAAGTTGAGTGGATATCTGAGCCCGCTGATCAGAGGCTGCCTCTTGCAAGGGAGACAGAAGCGAAGAGGAGGAGGAGGAGGAGAAGTGGGTGGGGGACAGAGAGAACCAAAAAGCCCACCAGACTCGGGCAGGACTTAAAGCAGGCAGGCGGGACAGGCGCTCCCAGCAGATCGCCCTGAGAGATCGAGGGGAGCCTCCTTCGGCATCCGCAAGAGACCCCCTGAAGAAGAAGGCGCCTCCGAGGGGCGCAGCAGCCGCAGGTGGTGCCATGATGGCCACCGGCTACCCAGACCCCGCGGGGCCCGAGGACGCCGTGTCTCTCCTGCAGCAGCAGCAGCAGCAGCAGCACCAGGCCATCAAGGAGCCCTGCCTGGGCGGCGAGTCGGCGGCTGCCAAGAGCGAGCTGAGCCCGGCTGCCCCGGCCAAGGCTTCCCCGGCGGGATCGGCGTCCGCCTCGGCTCCCTCGGCGCCTCCGGAGAAGGGCGACCCGTCCCAGAAGCCCCCTTACTCGTACGTGGCGCTGATCGCCATGGCCATCCGCGAGAGCGCCGAGAAGCGCCTGACGCTGTCGGGCATCTACCAGTACATCATCGGCAAGTTCCCCTTCTACGAGAAGAACAAGAAGGGCTGGCAGAACAGCATCCGCCACAACCTGAGCCTCAACGAGTGCTTCATCAAGGTGCCGCGAGAGGGCGGCGGGGAGCGCAAAGGCAACTACTGGACGCTCGACCCGGCCTGCGAGGACATGTTCGAGAAGGGCAACTACCGGCGCCGCCGCCGCATGAAGAGGCCGTTCCGCCCGCCCGCCGGCCACTTCCAGCCGGGCAAGAGCCTCTTCGGCGCCGCGGCCGAGGCGGCCGGCTACGGTTACCTCACGGCGCCGCCCGCCAAGTACCTGCAGGCGCCTTTCCTCAACGCGGCGGCCGCCTCTTGGTCCCTGGCGCAGCCCGCGCCGCCGCCGCCGCCTCAGGCGCCTCAGGCGGGAGCCTACGCCGCCTGCACCATGTCGGAGGGAGCGGGCGGCTCGGGCGCCGGGAGCGGAGGAGGCGGCTCGGGGGCGGGAGGCGGCGGTCCCCTCAGCCCCGTCGGCGGCGTCAAGGGAGTAGGCCTGGCGGCCGGGCCTGGAGACGCCGCCGCCTCGGCCTACGGGCCTTACTCCCGCCTGCCGGCCATGGTGAACTCGTACAACGGCATGGGGGGCCACCACCACCACCACCACCCGCACCACGCGCACCACGCGCACCACCACCACCAGCACCACCACCACCAGCACCACCACCACGCGGCCGCGGCGGCCCAGCAGCTCGGAGCGGCGGCCGTGGCGGCGGCAGCGGCGGCGGCTGCGGCGGCCGCCACGGCAGGGAGCGGCTCCCCGCAGGGCTCGCCCAACGGGCCGGCGGGCTTGCAGTTCGCGTGCGCCGGGCGCCAGCCGCCCGAGCTGGCCATGATGCACTGCTCCTACTGGGACCACGAGAGCAAGCACAGCGCCTTGCACTCCCGGATAGACATCTGAGCGAGGGCTGGAAGAGAGACGGCAGGCGGGAGAAGAAGAAGCAGCAGCGCCCTCGTCCTCGGCATCCCCTTCATCATCATCATCATGTTGGATTTCTCTCCCTCTCCCTCTTGTAATTCCCCCTCCCCCCCCACCCGCTGCTGAAATGGGACAGTGACTTTGAGTGCCAAAACGAGAACCACACGCGCGCAACCCCCCTTCGCCCAAGTCCTGTGTGCCTGAAATCATACAGATCCTCTCCGTGAAGGCAGCGTAAGTTCAGAGGACTTCCACGCTCATCCTCCTTGCTGCAGGAGCTCCGTGGGTCCTTTGGTTCTGCGTTTCTTTTTTCACTGGGTTTTAGGGTTAGCGCGCGCACATAAAGGTGGCCGAACAGTATTTGCCTTTTGTTTCTCTTTTTCCTTTTTGCATTTCCTTGAAATTAATATCCCCATCATAAGCACTGTTTGGTTAGAAGTGTTGTTGGTTAGAAGTGTTGCTCACTGGTACGTAAATCTCTTTATGGTCGAGGTATTGGTCTCATTGTTTTCGCGGGGAGTTTAAAGGGAGTGAAGGTGGGGGATTTTTATTTTTTTATTTTTGGTGGGGGGGGGAGAGAAAAATAGAAGAGGGGAAAGCGCTTAGTGGGTTAGGGACAGAATTATAAACTAGAAGAGGTCTGTCGAGTTAGGGAGGGAACGTGCCGAAGCAATAAGCTGCTCTGCCGCCGGGTTGAACAAAAGCACTGAAAAATAATTCCGTTTTTTTTGCAGAATTCCTGGCGCTATTCAGAAAAAGTCAGCTAGGTTTATTGCGAAGTACATCCTATTAAAGTTCAGCCGTCCAGCAAATGGAGAAGGCAGAGAAAACCCCATTGAAATAAATTAATTTAACAATATGCTCCAGCGTTTACATCCCTTTAACTGCGGCAGGGTTTAAGCACGAATAATTTTGCAATCCACAGTCATCTGATTAATGATAATCAGATAGGATTGCATTTGATGGCATCTGCCAACCATAAATGGAATAATTTTACTAGAATATTTTTCCAGGTGAGGTGGCTATTTTAAGTATAGCACTGCGGATGAAAATTCCTTTGAAAGGATGAAGAAAAACCCAAATCACGCATACTGCATACTTGGAATTTAATTTAATTCCAAGTGTATTTTTAGAGGTGCCAAAGACTCAGCAGTTGTTCCTTGTCAGTTTAATTCACACCTCGGATACACTTGGTCGGGTAGTTCGGCCCAAAACAGTTTCAACAATATTTAGCTCCAAAATATATTTCGGGATGAGCGAGGAAAACCGGTTCAATTCCTAGGGAATGAATTTAGGATCGGGGTCCAAACGTTCAGATTAAAGCTGAGGAAAAACTCCTTTGAAAAATTGCCTTGGGGGTGATCCCTTATTTTGAAATTCTGCTGATGCGGAATTAAACAAGTGTAAGGCACTAACTCTTTGCCAGTCTGATCTCATTCACGGTGATAACCGATTATTTTTATTATAATTTCCTAAGGGGAATATTGCACTTCTTCAAAGATTTATGTTTCTATCCAAAGTAGTACTTATTTGGAGACTGTATTTGAGCAAGACCAGCTTTTTATACAGTATCTAGTAGCCATGTTGATTTGATTGTTGAAACGCGGAGGAGATTTGAGAAGAGTTGTGGGAACAATAGGTGTATATGTATATGTATTTTTTTTTAATAGAAAGCGTTCTCTCAAGATAGAGTAATTTTATACAAGACTATAATTATTCGGACAAAACAAGACTGTTTCCCGAAATTATTGTTAATAGTAATAATAATGGAGACTATTTTTCCAAATGCAATTGTTATATTTTTATTTTTATTATTATTTTTCAATGGATGTTAAGAGTGATTTTTAAATATTTTTTGACCCAGACGAATCTCAGTTAGATTCTTATCATCTTCTTTTTTTGAACAGAGTTGCAATCCTAAACCCTGAGAGAGCTAATGTAGAAAAAAAACATGTGTTTTTAATTGGGGGAGGAGGGGGCAGGTAATAATGATTTCCTCAGTGTCTGTGTAAACAAATAGATATTTTGGTATTCTGCCACCCCGGGACCAACTTTTCTAGAATAACCTAGCACTTTTATTGTATATCGTAGCATTGTATAGTCTCCAATAAAATGTGGTTTTGTTCTCTTTTACTAGAGTTTGATTTTCCTTTTGTCAAATATTTAATAATTTAATTGGCTTATCCTCATTCTTACACACCTTAAAAAGTGACGCTTTGGTAATTAACGTGTGGATTTTGGTGGAACGGCTGCTAACAGCATTTGGAAGGTTTTTATGGTCGTGTGTAGAATTGTCAGGCCCTCAGTCGCTGGTTAGATTATTCCTTCTCCCCGCAACGCTCCCCCACCCACTCCAATCGTTAAAAAATGACATAATTCGGGGAAAGAAAGACTTTAAAATACAATCCTCTAAACGGCTTCTCCCGCCTCTGCTCGCCCCGGTTTTTGGTCACCTGAAAATACAATGGAAATAATTTACTTTCTGTTGGGCACGCTTCAATTGTGTTAAGGCTTACTTGTTTTGAAAAATAATGATAATAACCACAGCTGGTTATCTTAAGCACCTTTATTTGGAGTATCAGTGATGCTTCCTTCCAGGTAAGTTCTGCTGAAATCACTGGGATTTATTTCCAAGTCAATGCGTTTTAGGGGCTGCGGTACCTAACAGCCTGGCCTTCTCGACCACGTTTGGTCAGAAGGTAAGTCCCATTGATTGCGGAGGAATTTACCGCTAAGCCATTGCGCTTATTAGGAGCGCTGGCCAACAGTCCAATGCTAGCGGGGTTCACTGAGAGATCTATATCCCAATGAAAGCAACAGGGCGCTCTCCCTAGGACATATGGCTGCAAAAGCACATTACCTGGCGAGGCTGGCTTTAGAAAGAGAGTAAACAAAAGGTAAAGTAAAGGTAAAGTAGAAACAGCGTATTTGGAGCCAGGTCTCATCAAACTTTTATTGTAAACTCTAATCAAGTAGCTTAAGCCCGGCGTTCCTTGTTTGGGGTGATGGTTTGCTTGCACGCTTTTAATGCTCTTTCCATTCTGGCGTCTTTGTGCGTTGAAGAAGATGCCCGTGGCGCTTTAAAGACTTTTTTATGCGTAGTGGTATGAGTTTCCTTACACATTTTTGTTCACAAGAGAACAGGGATGCATGCAGAATTGCGGCTTGCCGATATCATGGAAGGCAGAGATGATAGAGATCAGAGGCGGGCGGGAGAAGTCTGCGAGTGCGAAGAAATATCAGATGCTCGCGCTGTTCTTTTTAATTTCGGAGAGCGAGGTCATTTGGGGGGAATGCCTCCTTCTTGACACGAGCACGGTGCTATTCTTAAGCTCGCTTGCAGCAGCGGCTTGATCCTTAGCATGGCTACTCTGAAGTCAATTCCAGCGTGGTTCAGTGGGGACTGACTTCCTGGTGATTAGGCTTAAGAATTGCAGCCTTATTTGGAGGCAAATTCTGCGAGGATGACGAGGGCTTACTTCCAAGCAAATGCGCAGAGATGTGAATGCCCCCTTCATAATTATCCTATTTAGGGGCAGACTCTCCTTTTCAGTGATCCCTGTTCGATTCTTTTAATTGTCACTCTGTTGCTGCTATGGGAGGTCCCGGCTCTTTCAGACCTTTGGCTTTGTTCGTTTGCCAAGCGGCCTTTTCTTGACCAGGGATCCTAAACGCAGCTACTTGATAGCAAGGCCCATCCATTTCAACTGAGCAGTGGGCAAGGTTTCGAGTTCTCCAGACTTTTATTTATTTATTTTTTAACTATTCTGTGACGTTTAATGCTGTCCTTATGAGAGTTTTATCAGGCTGTAATATTTGGGAACTCTCCCCACCCCCGGTTAGGACACCTTCAGGGCTACCTGCAAACTTTTGATCTCCGTCCGGTTTTGCATGTGTAGGATTAGGAAAATAGGCTGACAGGACCGCGAGCAAAACTAATTGGGGAGTGGAGGGGAATTTCACAGCGCAGAAGGCTGCTTGCTGGTTTTTGAAATGAAGGAACGATTCCGCTGGCCGAGGAAGCCCGGAGAATCTGTAGTCCCTCAGTCATTACCAAAAAGGAAGGTCCCCCGCCGGATCCTGAACCCAGTTAAAGCCGAAGCCCTCGGATGGAAGGCGGATTCATCCATCCAAGTCCTTCGGAACTGCGTGACTGTGGAATAGTCAATTAAGGCTGCAGTCTTAACCCCGTTTACCTGAAAGTTAACCCCATTGAATTCAATAGGACTTATTTCTGATTAGTCATAGTTAAGCCGGCTCTGTAAGGCTCCCCTCCCTGACGGGGAGTGCTAAAGGTGGTCGCCCTATTCTTTCCCCTACACGTGTGTGTGTGTGTGTGTGTGTGTGTGTGTGTCGGCCAGAAGAGATGTGGTAAAGTGTGCAGAAAAGCAACAACCTTTAGATAAGCTTTGCACGATGGACCCTGCTCAATACTTGGCACAGGCCAATAATATACATGTGCACAGCGTTTGCATAGGCTAATTTTAAAAGTATATATACCTTTGAGTAAATTAAGATGGTGGGTGTTTGGGGCCGGACCCGCATGGTGTTTTGCAAAGCACTCGGCCGTCCTTTAAGAAAAACCTTCTTTTTTTAAGTTTGTAAAAACTGAGAGGAAGGGGCAGGAGAGATCTAGGACCCCGAGCCAAAGACTCTTCCTGGTCTACCACCTAACAACGCTCCCTTGCATTCGGCCGGGATCTTTCCTGCTCACGAGAAGGATGCCCCAGTGGAATCCACGGGGGATGTCACTCGACTTAAAATGGCTTCACTGGCTGATAGGAGAGAAAAAAATAATGTTAGGGGAGAGAGCGGCCTTTGCAGAACGGAATGAAAAAGCCCGTTCCCAAGCTTCCACAACATGCAGACATATGCAGGTACATGTCATCACACAACACTCAGAGGGAGATCGGTACGATCTGTTCCGAGGCAGGAAAGTTGAGCCCCGAGTCTCTGCTGACGCGCTGGACCCGATCCACCTCTTCGGAGCACGTGGAGGCTCCCACCATCTATCGCATTGTAGCGGGTTGGGATAGATGACCCTTTGGGACTCTTCCATGTCCACAGTTCTATGATCTGCTGCCAGGCGGCTAGCGCTGCTCTGGGTGCGACACCGCGGCTCTTGCAAGGCTGTATTCAGTCCGCCTCGCGGACTCCCCGCTGCCCTTCCGCCCGGATTGTCCCTGGCCAGCCTGATCCTTCCTCCTGAATTCATTCCGATTTACTTTAACTATTCTAGACATTCCTTTGCTTGTTTCCTGGGAAGGAAGTCCCCCCGAGTTAGAGGGGACTTCACTCCCAGGGTAAGAATGCCTAGGGTTATACGCAGGACAGTTTCTTCAGAGTAATCCCGACCCTTGCCGAGCGTGTTTCCTTGCTTATCTGCTTCTATTTTTATTAATGAGGATCTGTTCGAGGTTTTAAATGATTTTTATTGTTTTTAAGTAGGAATGTATTGTTCTATGCAGCTCTGCGATCTCTTAGGCGGAATAGAAAAATGACAAATAAAATAAGCATGCATGGAATCTGTAAATGGTGGTGCCTACATTTTAAAACCTTATTCCCCGGCAAACCCTTCGCTCCCTAAATTGAACTTGAAGGGTTTGCAATCCCTCTTTCTGCAGGCTTCTTTTGAATTTGGCCGTGGGGGTTGTGTATAAATGGGAACTTTCGGTGCGGGCCTGGACATTGAAATGAAGGCCGGGTATCCTCAGAGAAGTCTAAGTTACTTTTGGAATTGGCGGGGAGTTTGCGCCTCTGTGCAACCCTTCCTTCTCAGAGCACCGGTTTCAAAACAGATTCTAACCCGCGTTGGACGCTGCATATCTGTAACCTAGGCTGCTTGCTTGATAGAAAGCCGTTCTGTACTCAGTGGGGCTAATTTCTAAACGGGCATGGAAAGGATTGCGCACTGAGAATATATTTTGGGTGAATTAAGGAGGAGTTCAGAGTTCCACACCGGAATGTTGCCAAGGAGTTCTGTGGAAGCGGGAATTGCCTTGGGCTCATTTGAATCAGTGACCCGCTTTCGAACTCATCCCTCCAACACACACACACAGAGAGAGAGAGAGAGAGAGAGCGCTAGGACACTTACTTAACTGCTTCCGGGTCCCGACGTCTTTGTCTGGGGGATGAGGGAAGCAAAATAATGGTTAGGGAGACTTGCATAAGGTGCGCCTTTTAGACACCCAGATCCTGAGCACCTTTCTTTTGTCCGATTTGTCCGCCATTGATTTAAGCAGAGTGAGTTGACTGCCTCAAAGTAGCTCCTTGCTAGTACAATGAAAGGGCAGGAAATAGCTAATTGATGATGATGATATATTAACTATTATTGTTGCGTTTTTGGAAAATTGCCAGATAAAGTGAGAGGCTCTGGTGGGAGGAGAACCTTCCGCCTCGAGTACCAAAAATCAACTATCCTTGGGGACAACTACGCACCTTGACTATGGACGGTGGCCGGGCAGTTTTGGGGTTGTCTCTGTAAAAACGAAGGCAAATTCACAGGGAATTACTCTCCCTTGCACCTCAAATTAGGCATGAAAACCCAAGCAGGCTTATTACGAAGCAAGTCTTACGGAAAACCGTAAACATAGTTAGAGGGTCGGGATGAAAATCGAGCCGAGGCAATCCCTCCGAGGAGCGGAGGTCGGGAATAGCTTGTACTCACTTGCAAATGAAACTGACTTCAGCAAGCCGCGGTTTGTGCGTTTACAAATTACCCGCTCGTCATATAAACTCCTCCGCCGACTTATATCCAAACGCCTTGACTTTCCCTCTAAGTGTGCGCGGGAGCGGGGGGGGGGGGGGCGACTCTGGGGCTAGGTGTGCGGAGCTAAGAGCTCGAGCTGAGGGCTTGATCCCGCAGCCCTTAAAGCCAAGCGAAAATATTGTGAATGGTTTCAGAACTCACAGAGTTAAAGAGTTCTGGTGACGTCTCTTTCCTGAGGCGTGGTTAGAAACACTTAAGGGAGGGGTTTGACTCCGTGTGTTTCAGTCTGACTTTCGGACGTGATGCGAAAGGGAGAATGTGTCAGTTCTCGCCAGGTCTGAATTTATGATGTTATTCTTCATGATTAAAAGGCAAGAGTAGATAAGGACTGCCTTGTGTCTGGACTGATTTATTCCACACGTGCTGCACTCTGCTTCTCACCGCTGTGTTTCGCTCTGCTACCGGCAAGAGAAAGAGGCCTGAGGAGGATTTTTGCAGGAGGCACGGATAGCTTGCAGAGTTCCGCAACGGAAGCGTGCCGGGCTCCATGTTCAGTCTCTGTGTACCCTCTTGTCCGGTGTAAATAATTCCAACAGGTTATGGAAGCTCGCCAAAGCTTTGAAGCATTGCAGGAACGTCCCACGTGTGGGGGAAGCCAGCAGGACAGTTGCTGGGGTCCAGCTGGAGCTCTGGAGCCGTGTCTTTGAAGCTGGAATGAGCTCGCTGGGAGAAGGATCTGCCGGAGCCGGGAGGCGGAGAAAGCCACTGCCGGGAGACGTGAGTGCTTAGCCCCCGGGGAGGAGATGGCAGACGATCGTGAATCATTCTCAGTTCCCTTTGAGAAATTAAATGGACAAAATTGGGCCGAATGGAGCCGGAAGCTAAAGGCCTGGCTGGTAGCCAAGGGGTTGTGGGAGGCGACCCAGGGGCCCCTCTCCCACCACCTGCAGCAGGAGCAGCAGCAGCGGACATAGCGGCTGCTCACGCGTCGCAGAGGAAAACCAGAAAGCCCTGGGAGCTATAGTGCTCAGTTTGGAGGGTTCCCAACTTCCTCTGGTTGAAGGGCTTGAGACTGCTCAGGAGGCCTACCAAGCCCTTGAGAGGGTGCACCACAGAACCACGGCTGGTGCAAAGATCCACACCACCAGACGCTTATTTGAGATGAAGCTGCGTCCTGGTGGGAACATCAGACAGCATGTTACTGAGATGCTTTCTGTTTTCAATGAGTTGCGCCTGTTACAGGTCAACTTTTCAGAAGAGCTGAAGGTTTATATTTTGCTCAGCTCTCTGGACAAAAGTTATGACAATTTGTGTCTGTCTATGGAATCGATGAGTCCACAGGATTTGACGCTATCGTACGTGACAGGGCGTCTTTCGGACGAACAGGAGAGGCGTGTCCGAGAAGGCAGGTCTGGCGCAGGCAGCTCCACCGGTTGCAGAGGTGGGGGCAAGCCAGATGAGAGCTGTGTTCAGGCTTTTTCCACTGTCGATGTTATGTCTGTGGATCCAACAGCCATCTAAAACGGGCTTGTCCGCAGAAGAGCAGAGAGGCCGGGCAGGATGTCTCCAAGGTCAACCAGCTGAGTTCTCATGGGAACCAGTCTCGAGAGGAGGCCAGCGTGGGAACGCGAAGGAGGGACGTGACTCAGAGAAGGGAGACTGTTATCATCTCGCGGCTTCTCTGGCAACTTTGAACAACAATGCCAGCAGGGACACAACTATGAAGTGGGTGCTGGACTCAGGAGCGAGTCATCACCTGATAACGCCATCTGCTGGGGAGCTGCAGAATTGCAGGGCTGTTTTAACTGGAATGACTTGTAAATTTGCTGACGGGAAAACGAAATGTATCTAAAGTGGCAAATGTCTATAATTCTGTTTTGCAGGCTGAGCTGGAGTGCTTCATTGTACCAGGGATGAAGTGTTGCCTGTTATCGGTTTCTGCTCTGGCGAAGCAGGGATACAAAATTTGTTTTGAAAATAACACCTGTTCCATCTTCAGAGGGGGGAGGCAACTTGTCAACGTGGAGAGCAAGGACAATCTCTTTGTTCTGGAAACACCTCTGGAGGGTGGTGGGAATGCAGGGAAAGCACAGGCGCAGTGTGCTAGTGTTCCCAGCCATGATTCATGTGTTCATGTATGGCACAAGAGAATGTCTCATGCTTGTCTGGAGGATGTTAAGAGGCTGCCAGGCTGCACCGAAGGATGTAAAATCACACCATGTGAGGGATCCCTAGTGTGCAGGGCATGCAGCAAGGTTCAAAGGTGCAGGTTTCCGGGTAAAGAGGGTAACCACAAAACCTTTTGAGTTGATTCACACAGATCTGTCAGGACCCATGAGGTGTGAGAGTCTGGGTGGGGCTGAGCATGTGCTATCGCTGACAGATGACCACAGCCAGGTTGGCGGGTGTTTCTCTCTCCAATCACGGGGGGAGGCGGCGCAACTGATCCCGGAGTGGGTTGCGGAGGTGGAACGAAGGTTTTCCACCAGGGTGCAAGGGTTCAAGAGCGACCGAGGGTCACAGTTTACTGGGTCTGCTCTGGAGGAGTTTTTCAAGGAAAGGAATACGTCACCACGTGACGGGTGCAAAGTCTCCTCAAGGGAGAGGCGTGGCACAGCACAGGAGTGAAACACTGGCTGAAGCTGTCAGAGTTTTGCTGGGTGACTCTGGGCTGCCTCAGAGCTTTTGGAGTGAAGCTTGGAAAGCTGCCAACTTTGTTTTTAACAGGTCCTACAATCACGATGTAGGTGACACACCGTATTTTCTGTTGCACAAGAGGAAGCCACAGGTGCATTTCTTCCGTCTGTTTGGTTCCAAGGCTTCAGTGCCAATACCAACAGCGCAACGGAAGAAGGATGGTCCTAGGTACCAGGACATGATCTTCTGTGGGTATGATCCTGCAACAAATGGGTGGAAGTTTGCATACCCAGAGGGTGATCAGACCACGCTGCTGGTCAGCAAGCATGCTGGAGTTCTTTGAGCAGGATGGTTGGTCACAGCCTAGGTATGGTTCTGATTTTCTCTCAGACTGCTTGTCCGATTCTGAGGGGGAGGAAAAGGAGGAAGAAAGGGAGGAAGGAGAGGCAGAGGCGGAGCCTGCTGCTGAAGACCAGGTTGCTGATGATGGTCAAGCACAGGGGTGGGTTTCTCCACAGGTTAAGAGGGAACCCAAGAGTGAGCCTTCATCTCCTGTTAGCCAAGTGCAGGAAGCCCGAAGACGCAGCAAGTCAGAGGGGGAGTCTTCTGAGCTTGCTGGAGACACACTTGCTGACCCCAGTGGGTCAGGAGGAGCGCCTGAGGGTGTGCTGCGGCGGTCAACTCGGACCACAAAGGGATTCCACCGGAGAGGTTTCCAGGTCACCAGTGCGTGGGTTGGTTTCTGCACAGTGTGATTCTGGGAGTGTGGAAGGGATTCAACAATTGCCTGGGATGGATGCCAGTGGGAGGCAAAAGGCAATGGGAGGTGAGTTGAACTCAAAGAGGTCTGTAAATAGGGGTTCACAGTTTCCTCAGGATCTCGTGACGAGAGGGGTGTGAATGGCTTCAGAACTCACAGAGTTAAAGAGTTCTGGTGACGTCTCTTTCCTGAGGCGTGGTTAGAAACACTTAAGGGAGGGGTTTGACTCGTGTGTTTCAGTCTGACTTTCGGACGTGATGCGAAAGGGAGAATGTGTCAGTTCTCGCCAGGTCTGAATTTATGATGTTATTCTTCATGATTAAAAGGCAAGAGTAGATAAGGACTGCCTTGTGTCTGGACTGATTTATTCCACACGTGCTGCACTCTGCTTCTCACCGCTGTGTTTCGCTCTGCTACCGGCAAGAGAAAGAGGCCTGAGGAGGATTTTTGCAGGAGGCACGGATAGCTTGCAGAGTTCCGCAACGGAAGCGTGCCGGGCTCCATGTTCAGTCTCTGTGTACCCTCTTGTCCGGTGTAAATAATTCCAACAAATATAACACCGGCCAGCCTGCGAACTATCCTGTGCCAGTTCAGTTCATTTGGTTACGTTCTCAAAGCATCTCTATAGATTCCGTGTGGATTTCCTCCTGGCTTGGTATAGAAGGAAAAAAACCCAAGCAAAAAATAAACAAAAAATTAAAACTGACGGGTTATGATTTATCGCATAGGGAGGACTAATCACATTCATAAATGTCTTCGGAAAGTCAATACATGTCTTTTTAATGTCAGGGGGAGTCGAGTGTAGGAGACACCGGGAGACTTTATTTGCGCTGTATGGGAATAGAAACTCTTGCGTTTCGGCTCTGAGGCTGACTTACTTCATTTTATGTTTTTCTACACACTGCTGACTGTTCTTCGGTTTGCTCACAACCTCTTCCCAACTCCTAGGACTTCTCTGGAGCTTTTTGGAGGAGCGGGGAGTGGAGGGAGGGCTGGAGTGGCTGCCGCGATAATGCCTGCTTCCAGAACTTAATTTTAAAAACCTTGACCCTTTAGGCAGGATTCCAGCACAGTTCAGCATATTTTGAATGCGGGGGTGGGCGTGGGGGAGAGAATTAAGTCAATCGGACTTTTGTAAAAAAATAAAATAAATGCTGCACTTTGGCAAGATTGTGCACATCAATTTTCCTGAAATGTATTTATTACACTTTCGCTCTCCCCCTGTGTGTATGTGTAAACATTTAGAAATGAAGGTTGCAATCCTGTTCCGGTGTTTTCCTGGTAGTAAGCCCCAGCCAATTCACTGGGAAATGCTTCTGAGTAGACGTAGATAGGCGTGTGCTATAAGTCTGCAATCTATAGCGCATTTACCTCGCAGTAAGCGCCATTGGACCCCACGGGACTTGTTTCCGAAGGAATCCCCGCTGGTCGAGGCAGCGTAGCTCTGGCTACCAGCTGCTGAGAGTCTCAGGTGGGCTTCCTGTGGGCATCTGGTTGGCCACGTTAAGAACAGGATGCTGGACCAGATGGGCTTTTGGGGTAAAGGCACTTAGGACAGCAGGCATATGCCTTTATTAAAATGATCGAGTCCCCCGTTCTCAAATACTATGTTCATTGGAAACAGCTATCACTTGTAAGAAACAGATGTAGCCGTGATAGTACATAAGATGCAAACCTTCCAAAATCCTCAGTTGGGCAATAGCTTTATTGAGACCAGGCAAAATGTCACAAAAGTGTGGCGAGCTACAGGCATCTCCAGAGCTCATCCGCAGGGAAGACGTCAACACAACGCAAGGAGTGAGGAAGAGGAAGGGAGGTAACAATCAAGTACATAATTATTAGGCTGATGTTGTGTAAGCTGCGTTCCAAGCTGTATCGATTCATAACGGTGAAAGGTAATTTCGAAATTAGCTGGGTTCTTCGTGAACCCTGGTGAGAGAGAAAGTTTTTATTTTACTTTTTACCCGAACTGTTCTAAGTGTGC